TGCAAGGCTTTCGAGTGTGATCTTTAACAGGTCATGGAAGAATTTATCGGCCATCATTTCATCGTGGGCATTGTCTACACACATTAGCTTCCCAACACAGGATGATATGTCGTACATCTGGGCCTGACTCATGCCAGCACCATCCTGAGGAGACGATGCATCTTCACGGGCGTAGTAGTCTTCATCAATGTCAAGGACGACGCTGTCATTAGCCGAAATCCAGTTACCGGACGTGGCCAGTTCTATAGCCTTATCTGTACTTACAAACTCCACAGTTCCACTAAGAGACATGTCTAAACATGGGCCTTCCTGTATTTCAAAATATTCTCTCGACCATCTCGGTGAGTATCGATCCAGAACACACATGTTGTGTACCTTCAGCTGTTCAGATTCCGCGCAAGTGCAAAGCACCAGTTCATCACGACCGCCAGCCGTCTGTCTGTACATGACCCCAGCTCTCAGACGTATTACAGACACATAGGCTTGATACCTTCCAGAATCATATGGCGGCCACACCCAGATGAAACGGTTGATTAATCCTGTGGCTGCAAGCCATCTGGCAAAATATTAATTTCTTTTAGAATGATTAGCAATGTGGTATAACTGACATTTGACATTTGAGCGAGTTTGAGCGAGTGAGTGATCGAGTGAGTAAAAATGCATAGTGAATGTAAAATGCATATAATTTCATATCGTCGCCATATCGTGACTTAAAAGTTAAACTTCATAATAAACGCAATTAAATTATTAAAAACCTCGTCGACAAAGGACAGTAAAACCAACTGACATATAGAGATAGAGTAAACTGGGATTATAACGAACATTTTTAAACAATTTTTATTTAGCATAGGACAGATGTTTTATATTCGATACATAAGAACATATATATAGCGAGATGTTACACTGCTACTATGTGAATACAAATATATCTGGGTTCGAATCCTCACATGGGTACAATGTGTGAAGCCCATTTCTGGTGTTCCCGCCGTGATGTTGCTGGAATATTGATAAAAAGCGGCGTAAAACCAAACTCACTCAGTCAGTCAAATATATCCATTTCACATAGAGATAAAGATATTATCCACGGATGTGAACGTAACATCCTCGGAAATGTACAGCATTTGTTTTACACACTATATTGAAAAAATTAGGGCAAATATAGGATAAGTACTAGAAGGAAAGTGGAAATAGGGACAAAAGACAGAGAGGGGTTAGTAGATGGGATAGAGGGAGAAGTCGGGAGGGCGTGTTGGTGGCTGCAAGTGTTTACGCTGTAAATGTCGGCATCATTGTTGACCATTAATTTTCAGTGTGGTATTGGCAGGGCCGTAAATAGATCTTTTCAATGTTATAAATTTGCTTTGATATTTTTATCAAACCTTGGAAATGCAAATTTGTTTCTTTATGTTTACACGTATAAATATACATTTTCAGAATGTTATACAAATGGTTTCACAGAATGCTTTGATTGGGGTATCCAAGTAAGATAATTGATTTAATATCGAACATGCTTATAACGAACTCACAGATATACCGTGCCGTTGTTATGGTCCCGCCTACTTGTGTATTTTGACCGAAATGCGTATAATGTTCTTTGGTTAAAACGAACTAAAACTAACGGTCCCCTGAGTTTGGTATAACTGTTTAGTTTACTGTAGATGGATGCAGTGATATAGCTGAGATAAACAAAACTTTAGTCATTCACTCATTAAGTCTTTCCGTAAGATGAACATTCATGCTGTGAATTGACTTGCGGAAAGGTAGCCTTGTGGTTAACGGTTCCGATTGTCACGATAAAGACGAGGGTTCGATTCTCCATATGGGTACAATGTGTGAAGCACATTTCTTGTGTCCCCCGCCCTGATATTCCTGGAATATTGCTAAAAGCAGCGTAAAACCAAATTCACTCACTTACTCATCCTTTTGTAGAAGGTTAATATAAAGTCCAGAACAGAAATGAACTTTGTTACACTCAGGCCGATGTCCTCGGCAGATGATTTACAAATGTTAGCCAGTAACTTTACAATTTGCACATTATATTTACAGACCTTACTGTGTTTTTCATAACAGATATCTTTTAACATGTAAAGGGTGATTTAAATGTTAAAATATAGTTGCGGCAAACGATAGAGTCTCCTTGGCTTTACTTTCTATATATTGTATCTGAGGGCTAGATATCATCGTCCAAAACGGAGCCAGAACACATGTTTTGACAGGCGAGCGGATATTCCAAATACAGCCGGGGTCACGGGGATCATGTACTTTAAGTAGTTCAAGAAATAGTTTTCCCTTGAAAAGGCTGTATCTCAGTTGTTCTTGGGTCTACGTTCAAAACAATTAGTGTTCTGTAATCACCAGGACATCATCTACCATTCTGGCAGAATTTGCACATTTTGGAGCAAACTACTCAGAAAAGCTGAAAAACAAAATAACTGCCAAACGGTACGTTTTAGCGGACTTGACCCGTCCAGGCAAAATTGTTGGGTATTCGATTGTGCCCCTATTCAATTAGTTCGAACAATTCAGTTTTGAGATATTTGCTGAGTGTGCTTTCTAACACAATTTTGCAAGTATACTGATGAAAACAAATAAGGGAACGCATGAAAACTCAAGTGTTCCTGTACTTTTTGTGGGTGTATTTGCATGGCGCTGTTGATGGGGATCTGTGAATAGTTAGAGGTACATATGTACTTTATGTGTTTCCGTTATTTCTGACCATCAGTATATGTTACCCAACACAATACAGTCGAACCCCAATGTCTCGAACTCGAAGTTAAGACGAGTTCTCGGTTGTCTCAAACTCATCTCTCAGTCCTGCCGATTTGCTTATATTTATCATTATTTTTCCCCTGATGTCTCGAACTAGATGTGTCAAGTCCCCGGTGTGTCGGACTCATGTATAATGCGCCGACGTCAGAGAATAGCCAGGCTCGATTATCCACCACTTGGCATAAAACGATGTCAAAACTATATCAACGAATACTGGAAACTCTGTCACGACACCAGGTGTTCTCGAACTGGGTAAGCCTGTGTTGCCCTACTGGAAAATATTTGCTACGAATATACATGAACATGAAATTAAGCTTATATATTCAAGTAATATCACGGCGTGGGACACAGGGCCTGGCCTTCCAGGGCTCGATTAAGTGCTTCGTTACTTGCACTGGTGCAACCGAATGTAACAAAGTGCAACCTAGTTATTCGTCTAACTTGCACCAGGTGCAAGTCAATTGTTTAGAATTTTATCAACAATAAATATAACATTTTAAGCATAATTATGTCAGCTCATTTTTCTTCTAAACTTTGAATAATTCAGAAACATATTTCTTTCATTACATATTTCAATACGAGCAGTGCAGCTGGAATTTGGCTGGTGCAACTAGCTTTTTATCTCAGCTTGCACCTGGTGCAAGTAGGTTAACATCTCTTAAATCGAGCCCTGTCTTCTCACAATGTACTCATTTGCGGAATCGAACCCGGGTCTTCGGCGTGACGTGCAAACGCTTGAACCACAAGGCTACACCACTGCCCCTTTAACACCAGAGATCTTCCCACTGGTGTGAAGTGTTTTATGTGTGGGCGGTATCATTTACGTGGTCATGGTGCTAAGACAACTGCACATTTTAAATATATGTAACAAAACCTCTTCCTTAATCATCAGAAATCTCAGTCTACTGTTTAATTCCGATTATATCATAAACATGTATTATGAGTGAGTTTAGTTTTACGCTGCTTTTGGCAATATTCAAGCAATATCACAGAGGGTCACTCCAGAAATGGGTTTCACACATAGTGCCCATGTGGGGAATCGAACCCGGGTTATCGCCGTGAAGAGCGGACGTTTTGACAATTACGCTACCCCACCGCCCTACTTGTATTTATGACTCACTACGGACTTTTGATGAGATCAGGTGTGGGTACCTTCCCACATGTCGTTTCAGCGCGAATACAAGATACACAACTCGATTTTTACCTGAAATGTTTTGAAAGGTGTCCACTCTTTGTATCTTAATTTGGCTATTAAAAGAGTAAAGGGAGACAAAACCCACTAAGCAGGGCTCTTATTCTCGAAACGTTCGTAGCCCTAAGAATTCTTAACTGTGATCGTAGCCAATGTGTTAAAAATGGGCTTAAGAAGTTCGTAGGGCTACGAACGTTTCGAGAATAGCTAGCCAGGCACAGTAATACTGTTATCCAAATGAATCCTGAAATGATCATTAAGGTCAATTGCTGAGAGAGATTTTTATTGCGCTTTTGATTGTCACAGTTCATATCAAACTACATGCAATGTAAATGAAGAAATATACACTTAATACACACGTAAATATCGCTGGAGTTACCGGGGTATGGTCTATATAACCTTTAGTTCTCACCCAAAAGGGTGGCACTGATTAAACACCGACACATATCAAAGCATGCTTGACAGAAACATGAATGAAACGTCTCTAAAACTTATGTGGTATACAATAAGTTCTATGACAAGCACGCAAGTTTCAAATTATTTATGTTCCATTGTGCATCGGTGGTGTTACCTAAACCGTCCTGCCAATTACCCTCACTACCCCACTCCGTATGGAGGCAGTCCTTACCTATTCCTACGCCTCCAATGTCTCTCTGCCTCTCTCTCGCCCTCTCCGTCTCTCTCTATGTCCTGTATCGCTTTCTATCTCCATCTCTCTGTGTCCATTTAAGGTGTCCCCTTCCTTTCCCAATTTCACAAGGTGTTCAAATCACACTAGTAACCCTCCAGCCAATATACTCTGTTGTTGAAACGTTAGCCATTTCAGTCCCTATCAATTACATATATGCGTCTACAGCATACATTTCCACAGCAGGGTGCCAATAATCATCTGGCTTTACCGCTATTTAACCCTTTGTAATAACATATTGGTTAAAAATATATCTCTTGATATACACTCCGTTACCACTCCACTGGCAAAAGTTCTCTATTTCAATGTATATCTTAACGTCAAGGGACAATCTTTCATCTTCTCCTCGTGACAATTTTTCAAACCATTCATTTTGGAGCGACAGTGAACCAGTTCTTCCAGTCACCAATCTCACCTGGAAAGAAAACAGGAACAGTAATTAATGTACGAGTCAAATTCAGAAAATTGTATAGCTGAGGATACTCCTCATACCGAGAATTATGTTGGACAATATCACCTCGATCTATAAACATTTAACAATCAAACATTGTCCTTGATTTCCTACAAGATGCTTGTGAACTGCCAAAAAGTCTGCACCGTGTAGATCCGGGTTAGAATTGGTCTTCAGTAACCCATGCTTGTCGTAAGAGGCGATTAACGGGATCGGGTACTCAGGCTCGCTGACTTTGTTGACAGATGTCATCGTATCCCAATTGCGATCGATGCTTGTGTTGTTGATCACTGGATTGTCTGGTCCAGACTCGATTATTTACAGACAGCAGCCATATAGTTGGAATATTGCTGAGTGCGGCATTAGACAACAAACCAACCAACCCAACATTCAGTCATTGGAATGAATGAAGTCTTAATTTGGTTCATTTGATAACCTTCATTATTTCACCAAATCTGTGCTTGAAAATCAGTTTCGAGGTTTGGATTTACAGGCGGAACATGACAAACTGATTTAGATACCAACTTCTTTGCTGAATGATGAATAATTGTTATGATGAATAATTGTTATGATGAATAATTCATCTTTCGCGAAAAATGTCATAAAAAGGTCTCTCATTCAGTCTTTGCCAATCGTTTACATTCTGGAGAAAATTCAAGGGCCCTCTTCCAGAAACCGATCGTAGCGCTACGATTGTCGTAAGTCTATGTTAAAGTATGGCAGTTACGATCATCTTAGTGCTTCGACTTGCTTGAGCCAGAGTGTTATCTTGTTTATTTTATGTTTATTTGTCCTGTATATGAAAATCTAAGAAATAAGTATCTATCGCGAACTGTCTTTATCTCCCAAATCAACGTTAATCTATTGTCTTCCTTGTACTTTCCTGCAAAGAACCCTCCCAAACAACACAAAGTTGCTCTATTTATCTACAATGCATTTTTTGTTAAGAAAAGAATTGATTAGTTAGAAAGTTGATTATATATGCCATTGTAAAGATGTATCTCTTTTGTATATGGGCCTATGGCCTTTCATACAATAAAGAATTGAACTGAATTGAATTGACTGTCGTAAGTCTATGTTAAAGTATGGTAGTTACGTTCATCTTAGCGCCACGATCGCTTTGTGGAACGAGGCACCGGTATCCAATACATGGTATTTGCTGAAGGGCTAATTTTTCTCTTCTGCAGCTTCCAGATAGGTGCCCACAGTGAGGCGGCCAACCCAAGACAATGGAGGAAGCTGCCTCTCTTCCAGTTACCCAAAAGCCGGAGGGAGCTGAACCAGATGATGGAGAAGACCAATGCCTTTGTTCATGTAATTAACAGACCTTGATGCTCCTGTCACTTAGAGGTATTGAGTCGGTGAATGACAGTGAGTGAGATTATGAGTTTAGTTCCACTAGTGTAGATCGAGTGGTCAGGCTCGCTGACTTGGTTCACATACGTCATCGTATCCCAATTGAGTGGATCGAAGTTCATGCTGTTGATCACTGGAAATGTGTGGTCGAGACTCGATTATTTAGCAGACCGCCGCCATATAGCTGGAATATTGCTGAGTGCGGCGTAAAACAACAACCAAACCAAACCAAAACAAGGAGGTAGACTCCAAAATCTTTCGTTAACAAGAACACAGCGGTATTCCTCTGTAGTAGTGTAAGAGAATCTCGATGTTTGTTGCGTAAACCAGCTTCTGAAAGATTCAATATATTGGTTGTTTCCTTTTGTGCAATACATATTCACCTTTTCTGTACATGATCTCAGCTAAGTTCGCTTTGATGTCCTTCATTGAGGTGAAACTGCAGTGATCACACACTTCTTTCACGAACTCATCACTTCTGTCAATTCCAAGGAAGTCCTCGAATTTTCTTCACCTCACGGAAAACATCCTTTGAACAAACAGATCGTGAAAAACACATGTGAACGTCAAAATGTAAATGAGAGGACACCTTTGATGAAAGCATGAACTCTGGTTACAAGTGAAATAGTTGTATTGACACTACATCTCTGCCTTGTAAAGTATGTATTTGTAACGGAATGCATCCTGATACCAAGAGACACCTGGATCACTACAGATCGATGTTTCAATGCACAAGGTTTCGACGAGTTGTTTTTATAACATTTTGACCAAAATCCCAACTCTCATGCCAAAATACTTTGAAACAGCAAAACAAAAACATGACTGAGTGAATCAGTGATAATGCTGCTTTTAGCAAAATACAAGCAGTATTGACAAAAACTGAAATGAAAAACTCCTAAGAAACCGGATACTGAAGTCGAAACCCAATGCTGAGGGACACGACACTGTACCTCTATATTGAGTATAAACACGAGGATGGGCAAAGAGGCACCATGAATGGTAACATCCCATCTTACATGCAAACGGATCTATCATGGGTAAAACGGTTACATTGGTCCTGCTTTTTACCTCTTTCATGTCTTCATCATGTAGCTAAGTGTCAGTATGGGGACGTCAGTTGTCTTCTTCACCGTCCTCCCAGTCCTTCACATTGTCCAACCAGGAGCCGTAGTCAACTGAGAAGCAAAGGTAAACATTAATGGCGTCACAACAACTTGGTCAGGAGCAGGTGGAAGAGGTCAAGAGGTGTGATCTAGCGCCATTTGCAGAGACAGTTCGTTAAATTTTTGGCGTTTCAGGAACGTTGATGTCGACATCCATCTCGAAACACTCGATGTGAAAAATTGCTGATAAGCAAGGGCATTCTTAGCTATGATTTGGGATTCGTACCGTGAGCAGTGTATCCTGACAAAACAATTAAGGATAGAAATGTGGTTTGTAAGTGTGAGTGAGTTTACTTTTTATGCCGCACTAAGCAATATTCCAGCTATATGGTGGCGGTCTGTAAATAATCAAGTCTTTACCAGACAATACAGTGATCAACAGCATGAGCATCGATCTATACAATTGCGATGCGATGACATGTAATCAGCCAAGTCAGCGGACCTGACCACCGATCCCCTTAGTCGCCTCTTACGACAAGCAAAGAGGGTTGCTGAAGATTCTTACCCGGATCTTCACGGGTCAGTTTATAAGAAGGAAATACTGACCATCACCTGTGCACAGTGAGTGAGTATGGCTTAATGCCTCGCAATATTCATTCAGAAATATTAAGGCGGAGGGCACCATCTATTGGTTTTTTCTTCGGCATGACGAACAGGAACGTTTGTCACCACTCTAACACAACGCCCCTCACATGTAGGTAAATGTATGTGGTGTTGTCAAGAAAGGAATACTTACACCTCCCCTCCAGTGAGGGTCGGACGAAATTCTTCCACTCTCCAGAGTATTGTGAACTTCCATAGCTTCTTCCACAAAGTTGTAGTAGACACAGTCACGTCCTTGGGATTCGAGTCACGTACAGTATCCTGGTTTCTTCTCTTTAACCTGCTTCGGAAGTTCGTTGAACAATACATAGTATGTTGAGGATTCTGGGAGAAGGAAGATCTCTATAGTCATCTTCACTCGCAAAATTCCATCATAGCGTCTCTTTGCTGACGCCATCACGGTCGAGTTTTCCCGCCACCAGCAGGCGAGTTATCTCCCCAAACCCAGTGGGTACCTAGAAAATAAGACCATATTTAGGGTTCAGGAGCAAAATGTGTCTCGTCAAAACCAGGACCTCGTATCACTTTCACTTTGCGCATGGCGATGTCACTAACTGTGGTCATGTGATTGAATAATGAATAGTATTACGCATTACAAAAAGTCAAATCATGCAGCGGACTGTCTGAGTTTGGTTGACATCGAAAATGACGAAATGACATGTTAGGATTGCATGTATGGTTTACTTATTAATGATCACAATACGCTACTGTGTACTGTTTATACTCAATATACAGCCGGCAGTGCGTACGTTATTGTGTGGTTGTATGGGGTTTACGGTGTGTCCCAATGTGTCACGGGCCGTTATGGCTGTATTATGTCATTGTATGGCTGTATGAGGCCACAGCGTGTCACTGTATGACTGCATGAGGTCACGGGGTGTCACTGTATGGCTGAATGAGGTCACGGAGTCTCACTGTATGACAGCATGAGGTCACGGGGTGGCACTGTATGGCTGAATGAGGTCACGGAGCGTCACTGTATGACTGCATGAGGTCACAGGGTGGCACTGTATGGCTGAATGAGGTCAGAGAGTGTCACTGTATGACTGCATGAGGTCACGGGATGTCACTGTATGGCTGAATGAGGTCACGAAATGTCACTGTATGACTGCATGAAGACAGGGGTGTCACTGTATGGCTTAATGAGGTCACGGAGTGTCACTGTATGACTGCATGAGGTCATGGGGTGTCAATGTATGGCTGAATGAGGTCACGGAGAGTCACTGTATGACTGCATTAGGTCACGGGGTGTCCCTGTATGACTGAGTGTGGTCATTGAGTGTCACTGTATGACTGCATGAGGTCACGGGTGTCACTGTATGGCTGAATGAGGTCACGGAGTGTCACTGTATGACTGCATGAGGTCACGGGGTGGCACTGTATGGCTGAATGAGTTCACGGAGTGCCTCTGTATGGCTGAATGAGGCCACAGCGTGTCACTGTATGACTGCATGAGGTCACGGAGTGTCAGTGTATGGCTGTATCAGGTCACGGGGTGTCAGTGTATGGCTGTATGAGGTCCCGGCGTGTCACTGGGTGGGTACATGAAGTCAAGGGATGTCACTGTATGGATGTATGAGGTCATGGGTTTCACTGTATTACTGTGTGGGGTCATGGAGAGTCACTGTATGTCTGTATGAGGTCACGGGAGATATCACTGTCTGGATGTATGAGGTCATGGGTGTCACTGTATGACTATGAGGTCATGGAGAGTCACTGTATGTCTGTATGAGGTCACGGATTTCACTGTATGGCTGTATGAGGTCACGGATCTCACTGTATGACTGTATGAGGTCATGGAGTGTCAATGTAAGAGTCTATATGAAGTCATTAGCGTGTCTGTATCGCTGTATAAGTTCACGGGAGATGTTACTGTATGGCTGAATGAGGTCACGGAGTGTCGATGTGTGACTGTATGAGGTCATGATATGTCACTGTATGGCTCTATGAGGTCAAGAGATGTCACTGTATGGCTGTATGAGGTCACGGGTGTCACTGTATGAGTCCACGGGTGTCACTGTATGCCTGTATGAGGTCACGGGAGATGTTTCTGTATGGCTGTATAAGGTCAAGGGGTGTCACTGTATGACTGTATAACGTCATGGAGCGTCAATGTATGGCTGTGTGAGGTCACGGTTGTCACTGTATGGCTGTATAAGGTCATGGAGCGTCAATGTATGGCTGTGTGAGGTCATGGAGTGTCACTGTATGGCTGTATGAGGTCATGGGTGTCACTGTATGACTGTATGAGGTCATGGATAGTCACTGTATGTCTGTATGAGGTCACGGGAGATATCACTGTATGGATGTATGAGGTCATGGAGAGTCACTGTATGTCTGTATGAGGTCACGGATTTCACTGTATGTTTGTATGAAGTCACGGATTTCACTGTATGGCTGTATGATGTCACGGATCTCACTGTATGACTGTATGAGGTCATGGAGTGTCAATGTAAGAGTCTATATGAAGTCATGAGCGTCTCTGTATCGCTGTATAAGTTCACGGGAGATGTTGCTGTATGGCTGAATGAGGTCACGGAGTGTCGATGTGTGACTGTATGAGGTCATGATATGTCACTGTACGGCTGTATGAGGTCACGGGTGTCACTGTATGAGTCCACGGGTGTCACTGTATGTCTGTATGAGGTCACGGGAGATGTTACTGTATGGCTGTATAAGGTCAATGGGTGTTACTGTATGGCTGTATAAGGTCATGGAGCGTCGATGTATGGCTGTATAAGGTCAAGGGGTGTTACTGTATGGCTGTATAAGGTCATGTAGCGTCAATGTATGGCTGTATGAGGTCACGGGTGTCACTGTATGACTGAATGAGGTAACGTGTCATAATGTGTCACTCTCTTTTATAGCTGTATCATGGCACAGTATTGCTTTAAGAGGTCACGGTGTGTCAAGTTCATTATGCCTATAGTATGACACTTTATGGTTGTATAAAGTAACTACCCATGAAGATCTGGGTTAGAATTGATCTTCAGTAACCCATGCCTTGTCGTAAGAAGTGACAAACGAGATCGGTTGGTCAGGGTCTCATACATGTCATCGGATACCAGTTGTTGTTGACCACTGGATTGTCTGGTCCAGACTCGATTATTTGCAGACCCGCACTGTATAATGTCAGGGTGTGTCACGGTCAGTAATGCATGTAATATGTCATTGTATGAAGTCAGGGTATGTCACGGTCATTAATGCATGTACTATTTCACTGTATGAAGTCACGGTGTGTCACGGTCAGTAATACATGTAATCTGTCACTGTATGAAGTCAGAGTGTGTCACGGTCAGTAATACCTGTAATATGTCACTGTGTGAAGACAGTGTGTGTCACAGTCAGTAATGCCTGTAATATGTCACTGTATGAAGTCAGGGTGTGTCTCGGTCAATAATGCATGTAATATGTCACTGTGTGAAGTCAGGGTGTGTCATTGTCAGTAATGCCTGTAATATGTCATTGTATGAAGACAGTGTGTGTCACAGTCAGTAATGCATGTAATATGTCACTGTATGAAGTCAGGGTGTGTCACTGTCAGTAATGCCTGTAATATGTCATTGTATGTAGTCAGTTTGTGTCACGATCAGTAATGCATGTAATATATCATTGTATGAAGTCAGGATGTGTCACGGTCAGTAATGCACGTAATATATCACTGTATGAAGCTAGAATGTGTCACAGTCAGTAATGCATGTAATACATCACTGTATGAAGTCAGGATGTGTCACGGTCAGTAATGCACGTAATATATAACTGTATGATGTTAGAATGTGTCACAGTCAGTAATGCATGTAATATATCACTGTATGAAGGCAGGGTGTGTCATGGTCAATAATGCCTGTAATATGTCATTGTATGAAGTCAGGTTGTGTCATAGTCAGTAATGCAGGGAATATGTGAAGTGAGCTGAAATGGCGTTTAACGACGCACTTCAGAATATTTCGCTCATATGACGACATGTCTGCATGTATATGTGTGGCTGCTTGTACTATCACTGAGATAGCATGCCGCAGTAATACTCCACTCAGACAGATATTCACCCCGAGCCGACCAGTCCTTGTTGTACCCATTATTGACGATCGCTAGGCAGGGACCAGCGAGTACCATAGTTTATGTATGAACCGGCGACCTTCCGCTAGATCCGGGCGGACGCTCTAACCACGGAGTCAGTCGCATGTTATATGTCACTGTGTAAAGTCTGTCACAATCAGTAATGCCTGTCATGTGTTACTGTATGAAGTCCGAGTGTGCTTTTGTAAGTCCCTAGATGTGACTTAAACCTAAATCAGGTCAGGTCTAAATTCCTGCTCGCATTGATTATTTTGAAAGCTTTGTCACCAACATACCTATTCGATTGTTTAACCGGAGTAGTAAACGTCCGGGACCTTCTACCACATCAAACTGCCAGGCTGTGATATTTGAATATAGTTCAAAGTGGCTTGTATACATCCTCGCTAATTCAGTATTGTTATGCTGCTCTCATACCTTTTCATACCTGACTTAGGAAAGGCACACACCAGAATGTCGTCCGAGCGCATTTCAACAGACGGTAATGTTTCCAGCGCATTTGAGGGAAACATAGGGTACTTCCGGCCATTGAAGCTTAGCACCGTCAACTCATCCCCACCATCATCGGCTACACGTATCTCCATGGTCCTCTTCTTCAACCCAGCAGCGTAAATCTGAAACGAAAGATGTTGTGTATACTGTATTGGTGGATTGCTAGAAATGGCCAGTTGATGAAGAAACGACGTTTAGGGCAGTTAGTTGTTACAGGTGAGGTGCTTTAGTATCTAGCATGGTGTGACGAGTTAGTACAAAGGGATCCTTCCGTCAACATGGTGTGACGTTCAAGTACTTATGTTTGAGATCTTTCAGTCCACATGGTGTGACAATTATTACATTGAGGACATCCAGTCCGCATTGTGGTACGTTCTTGTAAATTGAGATTCTACAGTCAGCATGATGTGAGGTTCTGGGTCTTGATTTTCCAAGCTCTCTTGGCGCTAAGATAGGCGCAAGTGTCATGTATTCCAGTAACTTACGACTATCCTAGCACTCAGAGAGCTTAGGAAATCTAGGCCCTGGTTCATTTGGATCCTACAGTCAGCATGGTGTGACGTTCAAGTTTACTGAGATTATACAGTCAGCAAGGTGTAACGTTCAAGTTCACTGA